TAAAACATTAAAAAAAAATTTAAAAAATAAATAAATAAATTCCATTAAAGCAACAAATAGTCAAAATACAGAGTCAGCTAAATAATAAAGCAGAACACTGTTAATACAGATTTAAGGATGGTTATTTAAAACTTGGGAAATATGTGGTTTATGATACACTTTTACAGTGTCATAACAAACTCTACATACTGAATAAGGCAAATTCTCACTACCTTAAAATAGATGACATGACATCTTGAGGCATAGAAGCCCTAGACCTATTCACTTAATTCCACAAATGGAAACTAACCAAATTGCTCTCTGAAAGGTAAGGAAAGATGGCCGTATACCCATATTTCCCTTTCAAATAATACTGGTTTTAAACACATGCAATTGGTTTGTTTAATAAATTATCGACTTACGAATTTTCCTGTCAGTTCAACAATGTGGTTTCCTTTAAAATTTTCAGCATTCTTTTATTCCAAACTCTGGCACCTTTTTCTTTCATTGAGTTTTTGATGAATCACCCAAAAACATTTTCTATACTATTGTTCTACCAATGGCGGGCAACCACAAAGCAACAAGCAATACCTCCTTTTCAACGCTGTCTTTATTTTACCTGGCCCAATGAAAAAGCTGCAATATCTATACTAAACCAAACAATGATATATTTTTGTGTACTTGCTCAGAAAAAGAGCAGTCGTTTAAAATTTCCAGAATATTGCTAATATTCTTCTTTGAAGTTGGTTATTAACAGTTATTTTGTTCAGGCATACCTTTGTCAGTAAGTACAAAACTGACACTCAACGCGCCTGGGTGGCTCAGTGGGTTAAGCATCCAACTTCTGCTCAGATCATGATCTGACAGTTCGTGGGTTCAAGCCTCGCATCAGGCTCTGTGCTGACAGCTCAGAGTCAAAGACCTGGAGTACAATTCTGTGTCCCCCCCCTCCCCCTCTCTGCCCTGTCTCTGTTCATGCTCTGTCTCTCTCTGTCTCAAAAATAAGTAAAACATTAAGGAAAAAAAATAAGAAAAACCCTGACACTCAAGAACAATAACTTTAAAACTGCCAATAATATTCAGATGTTTAAGTATATTATAGTAGTCAGAAGATGAAATATTATGGTCATTAAAAATAATCAGATTTTTCAAGTGACACCACAAAATGTACAAAGGTCAGAAAAGCAGGACTCAGTACAACTCTTACTTTGTTAAAAATAAAAAATAAAAGGCAAATTACACATCATATTCACACAGAAAACTATAGAAGATAAACCTTCAAAATATCAATAGTGATTAACCCTGAATGGTTATTTTCACTTTTTATGCTTTCTATAGATAGTACTTTTTCTGTCATAGACACAATGCTTTTATAAAGAAGAAAATAATAAATGGGTATTTCCATTAAGGAAACCCCTCAGGAGTACTCAGATTTCAGTTACAGGTAAAAATTAATCTGTACGGAGTATTAGTTAATACCCTATCAGGGTAATAAAGTGTCTCATTGCTCTTAGACTTTCCACTAAGAATCAATTCAAGGCCACCATGTAAGAGAAAGAATAACAGTTAACAGATTGTTAACTGCTTTTGGTTATATACACCAAATTAAAGGCTAGGTTCTATTTTTCCAGTGTAGAAATAATGGACATGATGGTACATTACAAATACCTTTGTATTACTGCATAAATAAGAAGGGACGAAAGACCTGGAGTACAATACAAAAAGTTGTTATTTTAACAAGTACAATTTTTAATAAACAAATTTGAATAAAACATATCAAAATGCTTATGTGACTATAAATTATCTGAAGTGCCAATCTGCTTCTTCAGCACAATATCTGGAGGAGGCATACATCACAGTATATAACAAATATGATTTAAATAAGTATCTGTCTATAAGTCCCCATAGCATTCAAATACTTTCATATTATCTCATATCTGTCATATAAAATATCCCATGATATCTCATGTATATTGATAATAATCTGAAAGAACCTATGTTTGATAATCGCTTTGAACATATTCACAATCTTGGGTAATAACATTTGGCGATAATATAAATAATGAGAAGACTTTTTAAAAAAATGAGTATATTTTTGAAAAGTATAACAATGTGTAGGCCAGTAAAAGAGACAAGTTAGTAAAAGTTTATCAGAAAGGAGTAGTAATCATTTTTCTGCAATTACTTTGTCAAAAAAAAAAAAACACTTATGTTCCTTTCATCTACACTTCATATAATATCGACTTTAAAAAATCCTAACTAACAGGCCATGGGCCTTCTTCTATATATCACTTATACACTGATCCCTGAATTACTCAATAGTAATTCAGTAGACATGTAGCATGAAAATACAAATAAAGAACAACCATGCTCAACAATAAGAAAACACCCAATTAAAAAATGAACAGGGGAGCCTGGGTGGCTTAGCTGGTTAAGTGTCTGACTCTTGGTTTCAGCTCAGGTCATGATCTTATGGCTCTTGAGTTCGAGTCCCATATTGGGTTCTGTGCCAACAGTGTGGAGCCTGCTTGGGATTCTCTCTCCCTCCCTCTGTGCCACACACCCCCAACTCTGTGTCTGTCTCTCTGAAAAATAAATAAATAAAATTTTAAAAAAAGAACAAAAGATCTAAACAGGCATCTCACCAAAGAAGATATACAAATGGCAAATAAGCTTATGAAAAGGTGTTTCATATCATACCTAAAATATTGAGACAGGACCACACACTTTACTAGGAATGGCTAAACTCCAAAAACCTGATAATACCAAATAGTGGCAAGGATGTGGAGCAACAGGAACTTTCATTCATTGCTGGAGGGAATGAAAAATGGTACATGCACTCTGGAAGAAAGTCTGACAATTGCCTACAAAGCTAAGCACACTCTTACTATGTGATCTAGTAATGGCGCTCCCAGGTTAATACCCAATTAGTTGAAAATTTACGTCCATGCAAAAACCTGAACACAAAATGCAGTTTCATTCAAAACTGCCAATAACTGAAAGCAACAAAATTGTCCTTCAGAGAGTAAATGGATACAATGGTACATATATCCATACCATAGTATATTATCCAGAAATAAAAACAAATAAGTTATCAAGCCACAAAAGGACATGGAGGAAACTTAAATGCATACTGCTTAGTGAAAAGAGCCAATCTGGAAAAGCTACATACTGTATGATTCCAATTATATGACATTTTGGGAAAGGCAAAACTACAGGAACAGGAAGACTGGTGGCTGCCAGGCCTCAGGGGAAGCAGAGTAAGGAATGAACAGGTAGAGGTCGGAGGATTTTTAGGGCAGTAAAACTGTTCTATATGATACCGTAATGGTGGATACGTGACATTATACATTTATCAAAGATAAATCCTTTTGAACGGATATCTTGGTAATGACACTGATTTGGAAGGTGAGAGTTAAAGAAATCCAGGCAAGCATTTAGAAAGTTATTACAATGTTAACAGCAATACCAATAACAATGATAATCATTTTTACCGTGTACTTTTTAGTACCAGATACTTTTACATTATCTCATTAAACCTTTGTAGGTCCTGTTATCACAAACACATTATAAATGAGAAAATAAGGCACAGTGAGATTAAGCATCTCAAAGTTACACGAATAAAGATATGGAGATAAAGAACATGGCCCTCATAAAGGACTTTACATAGTTCAGAATTACAGTGGTTTGAGTGGGAGAGATTAAATGGCAAGAAAGGTTGAAGACTACAGCTAGATAAACACCTTCTACATCATGGTAACAAGGATTTCTTTTTGATAAGTAAGCTACAAATACCATGTGCTTCTCCCATGTATATTTTTCTCCCCTATGAAATGCTATATATCCACTTATTCAGCATAATTTATGGAGCACCTAATATATGCCAGTTATTATGTTAGGTTCTGTTTATGCAATGATAACCTAAACGGCCCTGATCATTTCACCATGGAGTTAAGAGCCAATATTCATTTGCTCCCTTAAACTTTACTAGACAAAATCATTTGGGTTCAATCAAAAAGTACATTCCAGTATTTTGCTTAGTATTTGGAAATATTCATTCATTTACTTATTCCTTCCACAAATATTTAATAGGAATCTATCATGTGCCAAGTACTATTTTGGGTGTTAGTAATAACAACAATGAATAAAAAATGCTCCTCGACTTCATGAAACTAACATTCTAGTGAGAAGCCAGGGAAGACTATCAACAAATACATTATATAAATTCTGATAGTGATAAATGTTATTTAAAAAACTGAACAAGTAAACAGTGTTAGCAATGGTGTTTATAGATAGTGTAGTTAGGAAGGGCCTCTGAGAGGTGTGACCTCTGAGCAGAGTCCTATAGTAAGCAAGTAAGCCCAGGTCAGGTATCAAGGAAAATGTTCCAGGCCTTGAGAAAAGCAAATGTGCATGCATGTCTGTAGCTTTTAAATATTTATGTTCCCACTGATTGAAAGCTTTTCCAGATAGAGCAGAGATTTTATGTCATATATCCTTTCATTCGTTCAGCAAGTATTTGCTTGGTCAGCTCTACACATGGCACAATAAAAAAGCAATTATCAGGTGGAAAGTAGAAGGTTTCAAACTCAGATAGCCTGAAATCTGAATAAATGAGAAAAAGCATTACAGGAAGAATGCTATATTCTCTCCCCACTTCCCAGTCCCTCCTTTACACAACAGACAATAAGAAGAGCATTTGTCTATTACTCGTTCTTGGTATCCAGAAATGTGCTTGTTGATCTTTACTGGGTTTTTCAGGAAGGTTCCAAATTCACTTTGTGTGGCATCTATCTTGATCCTCAATTTAGGAAATTATTCCTTACTTACTATTCCTTGAGGGAAAGTAGGAACCGAACCGGACTGACCGACCCAGTGGAAATGTGGTTAGTGTCTGAATTAGAGTCTGGGGGTCCTGGCTAGGAGACTGCGGCAATGGCCAAAAGCAGGCCAAGGAAAGGGAGACTGACAGGGGCCAGTGCTTTCTAACAGCACAATCGGGTGTTACCTCTGGATCTTACCTTCACTGAGATTCCGACCCGACAAGTTTAACTGGCCGCTCTTCCTCGCTGCCTTTAAAAGCCCCTGGGGTACGGAGGCACCGCAGTCTCTCCTCTCAGATCGGAAACCCACTCGGGGATCCCGCTCGGCCACTCCCTTCAGGCGCGACATGTTCAAACCCACAAGTCCAGACGCGGAGCCCCGCGCGTGACGCTTAAATGTGGCGCCGGCGTGTCACCCCGCCCCTGCCGAGAGCGCGCCGAGCTCGTGGCCTTGAGCTGGGCCTTAGCTCTCGCTGGCGCGGCCCCGATGTCGTCACCGCCAGCGCCTGGGCTGGAGGATAGAGGAGCCCTTCCCGTTGCCGGTGCCGGCCTTGTGTCTTGGACTTACTTCGCTCGAGTAAGTACGCTTAACACGCTGAAAAAGGACTTTGGGCTTTATTGTTTGTACTGTTACTGCGACTCCAACCTACTCTTCTGTGCTGGCGCCTTGGCGAGGAGGTCGGGGAAGGATAACCTTCTCTCCTCGCCTGGCCTGAACGTGGGCCTTGACCAAAACTTGAGACCTGGGCGCGGTCTGCAGCCGCTCTGGACCCTAGCCTGTATTTGTCGTTTGTAGTGGTGGCGCCGGACATCTGTCTGGCGTAGAAAACGAAAACAGATTTCTGTTCTTCGCGCGTATGCCCCGAGTCCTAGAATTCGGGTACCTTGCCTGCTGTTGTATTTAGTTTATAGCCCGGCATAGGAGGTAGAGTGAAATGGAAGGGCTGGCATCAGAAAAGAAAAACGAAAGCTCAGTGATAAATGTTGTCTTTACTGGACAGTTTAGGGAAATAGGCGTAGGCACAAATTTTAGTATAATGAAAACAGCTTGGACTTTGAAGCTCAGGAGATGTGAGTTGGAATTGAGCTGCTTCTGTAGCTTACCAGCTGTGTAACTAACTTCAGGCAAGTTATTTGACCGATTGTAAAGCTTGCTCCTTTTTCATGAATTTAGGGATAATTCCTATCTCATTCGTTTGTTTTTGTTTTTGTTTTTTTTTTTGATAATTAAGTGAAGATAGAGCTTTGAATATTGAGCGCTTGGTGAGGAAAGGGACTCCAAGATAGAAGATGAAAATTTTGTTCAATAAGTCGGTTTTCCTGGATAGTTTCTGTCTGAAATGTACATCGGTATTGATTCATTCAGCAAATAATTAGGAACTCATTATCTTCAGTCATGTGCTGAATGCTAGACTTTTTTTTGACTGAAGTGATTTTGTTCTGAAAAGCATGCGCCAGGAAATCTCCAAACCCTCCCATCAACTCGGCTGTGGATTGGTAGAATATTTGAAAGGTCCGATGACGGCCCACTGACATTTCTGCAGCAGAATTTTTGCCGGAGTCCAGGTTCTTGCTTCCTGTAAAATTGGGTTTTTAACCCCCGCCACTTTTTGTTCTTCTTAGTTCTTTGGAGCCCTTTACACTGAAAGTGAATAACAGCTAGGTACCGTTAGTTACACTACCAAGGAAGAAGAGTGAGTTTTAATGCAAGGATCTTAATGAGCCTCCTCCGCAGCCCAAGTGTATCTCAACAGTAATGATGATAGGCACAGTGCTAATAATATCTCCTTTGCTATTTGTTATTTAGCACAACAACCATTTTTGCAGGTGAAGATACTGAGGCTAAAAGGGGTTAAGAAACTTACTGGAGGTCACAAGTTTCTATAAGTGCTATGGACAAGAACGTGAACCTAGTTCTCTCTCCAAAATCTTTCTTGTTAATCATTTGATTTGCCTAGTGGCTTTTACTTCATCATTTTCAACACCTTTATCCTAAAACCATTTTAAGGGACACTTCAATTTTGTTTTAAAGAAGGCTTTTTATATTAGACAAAACACCTTTTCACTTTTGTAGGATTTAACAGCCTATGTTTGGAGGATGAATTGCTCAAGCATAAAAGTTTACAATAACCACCCTGTCCCCTACCGTAGATTCTTTTTTTTTTTTTTTAGATTCTTTTTTTTAGTTCAATATTTTTCTAAAACAATGGGCAAGGTATAATATTTTCATTTATTGTGCTTCTACATGAAGTTAAATATTTCATTATTGACATTTAATTATAGTAAACATTGCTGCACTTTTTATAAGAAAAGCATAATTTTGTTGCATGGCAAAGTAATTCTGAAAAACCCAAGTGACCATAGATACTTGTTGTAAACTTAAATAGATATAAACTGACAGGTGTAAAAATTTTACTAGTATATATCTCTAGTACACGGTATATTGTACCTGTGTACCAAGTGCAGATCAAGCAAGTGAGGGTGAAAATTATTACCTCACACAGAAAAGTTACGTGTTTTATCTCAAATTGATAGAAACTGAAAGCTTATCAACTTGAATTGAGCTTCTTTATGAGACAGTATACTTTCATATACATATATATGTATGTATGTATTTATATTCATACGTGGGACTTAGCACTTTATATCAATTGTATTGCTTTAGGAAGAATGCATTATAAACAATAAAAAACCCAATCCTTTTTCAACTTGAGCATTTCAGCGAAAGTATTTACTGTTTAAAAAATGGATTTTAAAGTAATAGGAAATGGATGGTGCCTGGGTGGCTCAGTTGGTTGAGCGTCCAACTTTGGCTCAGTTCATAATCTCATAGCTTATGGGTTAGGGCCCCACATCGGGCTCTGTGCTGACAGCTCAGAGCCTGGAGCCTAATTCAGATTCTGTGTCTCTCCCTCTCTCTGCCCGTCCCATGCTCATGTTCTGTGTCTATTTCTAAATAGTAAAATAAATGTTAAAAAAGAAAAAAAAAATAATAGGAAATGGATGTCTCCTGTGCAGCGTCAGGAGTCTACTGCTACCTTTTGAAACAGAATTTGCCTAGCTGCAATTTATTATATTCATCTTAATAAGGTAATGGAAAGTTTCCCTCTTCTATTTTCTTTGCCAAATTTAAAAAAAGTGATTCTTATCTTCTTTGCCAAATGAAAAAAGACAGTGAAGAAACAAACAACAGATGAGCTTAAGAATTACAGTGCCCAAGGGTGCACTGAGTGGCTCAGTTTGTTAAGCGTCTGACTCCTGATTCTGCTCAGGTCATGATCTCATGTTTTGTGGGATCAAGCCTGGCATCTGGCTCTGTGCTGAGCATAGAGCCTCCTTAAGATTCTCTCTCCTTTTCTCCTGCCCCTCCCCTGCTTGTGTACACTGACTCTCATACACATGATCTCTCTCTCTCTCTCCCTCTCAAAATAAATGAATAAACAGTATTTAAAAATTACATCAGCCAAAGCTGTTATGTTTCATAACAGAAAGAAAACTATTATCAAAGTAAGATAGAGTGGCATGTCTCTGCCATTAAAATTTAATAAGACATTTTCAGACATGTCTGTATTACCCTTATGAACATTGCTACATTTTAGATTTTTTTCAAAGCTAAAAGGTATGGTAGATAAGATGGACTTATTGAGGCAAAAGAGAAACTGTAGTAAAGAAAAATGGCATAAATTTCTGCAAAATTTTTAAGCACATCTGTTTAAAAAATATTACCAACCTAGAACAAAGTGAATTTGCAGACATTTCTAGGAAGTTTCTTTTTGTGTAAACTAAGAGATTTAGATGTAGCCTATTATGAATTAGTATCGTTTATCTTTCAGACTATTGCATAATCAATGAGAACTGCTATTTTATGGTAAAGTTGTTGAGAGAGCATTTCACTTTTTAACACTGCCATTATTGATTGGAATTGTTGAACCTAACATATTACTTATTAAATGTTTTTTGAGTTGAATTTTCTACATTCTCATGTACTTATTACTCAAATTGCTTTCCATGTTTGTCCCTTCCTCTATCAGTATGTTATTTTATTAAAATTCTTATTTATTTCTTTTGAGAAAAAGAGAGGGGGAGAGAGAATCCCAAGCAGACTCCACACTGTCAGCACCTGACACCCCACATCGGGCTCAATCTCACTGTGTATGAGATCATGACCTGAGCCAAAATCAAGAGTCAGACACTTAACCGACTGAGCCACCCAGGTACCCCATCAGTAAGTTGGTTTACATGATCAAAATTGAGAGCAAAATTATATAGGACAGGGGCTCTCCATGTTTTAAATATTCAACTTTTCAGATGTTCGTTACCCATGTCTTTCGTTTTTTTTTAAAAAATTTCATTTTGCAGCTTCACTTGTTTTCCATTTATGCCTATAACTACCAACTTTTAAAAGTCAGTAGACAACGTTCTATACTATTTCACTGAAGGAAATACATATTTTGCATTTTTATTCATACTTTCAAATGTGACTTTGAATTGTATTTTGTTGTTATTGAGTTGTGTGTGGTAATTTTTTCTAATGGAGAGAGTGCAGTTTATTTTAGGAAATTCATTTGTATATTCTTTGTATGTTCACTGTGCTTTTCTTTTTTACTTTTGAGTCATAAAGCAGTGAGTTTGCTCTAGGTAGTTTAATATTTGATTCAAATTTTGGGTCCTATATTTCTCTCTACTTTCAATACAAGAGAATTTCGGCCCACCAGCTTTAGGAAAATATAATTTTCATCTTTTAAAAGGCTTTTACATGCTAGTGTTTTTCCTGTGGAGAAAAGTGGAGAAACTAATTAAAAATATATTTTTTTTAATCTTAATTACTATTAGTTTTTTTTTTTTTTTGGTTTATTTACTTTCTATTGAAAAAAAGATGAATGGGTGGTTATAAAGCAGTCTTTTTCTATCATTAAATAAAAAACACTATGGTATTGTTTATTGTTTTTTCTAAAATCAGCTGAGATTGTTTCCCATTATTCCCAGGGATTCTTAACCCTAACCTTTAATAGTTATTTTCTTACTCATTTTTCCAAGATTAATGTTTCTCTGGCTGAAAATATTAATTTTTTAGGGTTTAGGAATTTGTCTGCTTTAAAGTAGTGAAGTAATACAGAGAGAAAATTAGGACACCATATCCTAGAATGTGCTTTATAATATCATTCTATCTTTAATTGTATTAATACATACAAAGCACTACCAAATAAATCTGTTTAACATTGCCTTTTTTTTTTAATGTTTATTTTTGAGAGAGAGAGAGTGAGAGAGAGTGTGGGCAGGGGAAGGGCAGAGAGAGAGGGAGACAGACTATGTAGTAGCCTCTTACCACTGAGCTGTCAGCACACATCCCCATGTGGGGCTCGAACCCATG